TGTGTGTGTGTGTGTGTGTGTGTGTGTGTGTGTGTGTGTGTGTGTTACATGGAGGAGGGTGATGTCTAGTACACAGTATGTGAATTACATCCATCTGCAACAGTACTAGCCCGGGTAACAGTCTCATCCTGTGTTAGTATTACAGTGGTAGCCGTGGTTACAATTCTGCCAGAGTACCACAGTGGCAATTAAGGTAACGGGCTCAACCTGTAGTATGACAGGGGTAGCCATGGCAACAGCTTGCAGGAGTACTACAGTCTCATACTGTGTTAGTATCACAGTGGAAGAAAGTGAAACATTTTAAATGTGGTTAAAGATTTGTCTAAACTTGAACAGGAATTAAAAAAATGAGAATGAAATATGTTCATGATATCACAGTTAAGTAAGTAGCTCCAAACAGGCCTGATGGCAGTACCTCAGTCCGTATGTATCGACAGACCGGTCCAGTGTGGACTGGCAGTTGGAGTTGTGCCAGTTCACCTCCTGGGCACTGCCAAGGCGCCCTTGAGCAAGGCACCAAGTCCTCATAGTAACTGCTTGGGGTTCTGTGCTGCGACGCGACTCATTACCCTGACTCTCTCCACGTTGATGCATCATGTGTGTCAATCAAAAACAAGTAAGAGAATAACAAAAATAAGTTGTAAAATAAAGTTATTGTTGTTATTGTAAATGATATCAGGGATGCCAACTTGTTCTCCGTGTTGAATCCACAACAGGTCACCTCGCGTCATTTGTGCAGATCCGATGAGTATTTGAACTTGGATTGGCATTTATATTGGCAAGTAGCCAAAGTGAAACTCCTCCTACATGTTTAATTTTTGTATTAATCCATGCATTTTGGTATTTTTAATTTCATAGCGTAAGAGATGCTTTTAAGTTTTATAGCTTCTGGTGACTTGTGCCCGTTCATTGCTCATACAGTGGAATACACAATTATTTTATTATTCTGGTTGACTTTAAATTTGATAAAGAAGTATCGATATTTGTGTTAATCCTGTTAAAAAAATACAATTAGATAGTTCAAATAAATAAAAGAAATTTGGAATAAGGAGAGAAATAGGACTCCTACGTCACCAATGGCATACTTTTTTTGAAAGTAAAATCTTTTTTCTTGGAAGTGGGAAACTATATTTACAGGCATATGATTCACCACCATGAGTTTGCATGCCTTATTATTATTATTATTATTATTATTATTATTATTATCATCCAATATTGGTGTCAGACTGGAGCAACTCTCTTCTGACTGAAGTGGTAAAAATGGCTTTTATCTGTAACTTGTCTTGATCATATGGTTGTTTTTGTGCAAATGATTCATTAAGTCAAAACAACTGTCCTGTAACCAAAAGTTCAGCAGTAATGTTTCTGTGAAATAATCCATGACATAATGACGTCGCTGGGGAAGTATTTTTAGTCGGCAGATTAATGTAGCATTCTGTTTGAGGGGAAAGGTACCGCGAGCTTTGAGATACGGATAAAAGAGGTGTGTGTGTGTGCGTGTGTGCGTGCGTGTGTGCGTGCGTGCGTGCGTGCGTGCGTGAAATGAAAGAGAGAAACCGGAGCTAGAGGAAGAAGAGCAGGTGGAAGGAGAGGAGGAAAAAAGAGGAGGTGATGATGAAATGGGGGGGTTGTTATCTTCTTCTGCCAGTAGTGCACCGCAGAAATGACTTTCCAGAAATAACACACCAGGACCCGTACGCAAATATACAGGCGGGACACTGGCACCGTTGCTGACATGCTTGTGTCTATAAACGTAAAGAGGAATGCATTTCTATAAGAGTGGCAAAGTCCCCCGCCCCCAGGAGAGCCAGCTGTGGTCGGCTGAAAATATCTAGTGTACAACGTGATGAGAGGGGGAGGCCAATCAAATATTTATACCCTAGAAGCAGGGAGTGGAGGAGAGTCTGGAGAGGAAGTGGTTTGCCGTCTGTCTGTCTTGACGCCCTGC